GCATAAACTTGGATTATTGTGATGTTGAAAAGTCTGCCTTGGATTTGTACTGAAATCATTCTATCATTTTGAGATTATATCCCATTACAGCTTTTCCCACTCTTTTGTTCACTATGAGAGCTACTCCATTTCTTCTACGGGATTCTTGCCCAGAATAGTAGATATGGTAATCGTCTGAATTGAATTCACCCATTCCTGTCCATTTTAGTTCACTGATGCCCAGGATGTCAATGTTTATTCTTGCCATCTCCTGTTTGATCACCTCCAGCTTCCCAAGGTTCATAGATCTTACATTCCAGGTTCCTACGCAGTATTTTCCTTTGCAGCATCAAACTTTCCTTTCACTTCCAGGCACGTCCACAGCTGAGCATCCTTTCGGCTTTGGCCCAACCACTTCACTAGCTCTGGGGCTACTCCTACTTGTCTTCCATTCTTTCTCAGTAGCATGTTGGATGCCTTCGGACCTAAGGGTCCCATCTTCCAGCGTCATATCTTTTAGCCTTTTGTTTCTGTTCATGAGGTATTCTTGGCAAAGATACTGCAGTGGCTTTGCANNNTGGATTGCGTTTAGTCGTAACTCGCCACTATGTCCTGTCTGTCTTGGGTGTCCCTGCATGGCATAGCCTATAGCTTCTCTGAATTACTCAAGCCCCTTCGCCACAACAAGGCAGCAATCCATGAAGGAGATATATAGAATTGCACTAATAAGTAGTCTAAGTGTGTCCTTGGTGGCAGCCAGCTCTGTGAAACATGCTTCCTATTAAGAGTAATTACAGTCACTAAGGTTCAGTGGGATTTATTTTGGAGCAAAAATTAATATAGTATTAACAAATTTCTTTCAAGAAGCGATCACTCCATAAATTACTGAATTCCCTCTGCTGGAGGAATGAAATCTTCAACCCTTAGAACTAAGCTGACTCATAGAAGGCCCAAGAGTGGCACCTTCCTCCTGCAACTAGTCCCCACAGTAACATGGAGACTCTCTTCTGTCCACACATAGACACCCCACTGAGGAAAATGTGAGCAAAATGTCTTATGTTGCCAATTTGGGAGGCAGGTGTCCTCACCTCTGGATTCAGCTGCATTAAAAAAAATGCATTGAACATAACTTTCCCCATTGTGCTTTCGCCTAAAATGAGAGGCATGTGAAAGCATCACCCAGGAAAGCTTCAACATCTGATCTATGAGTGATCAGTGGGATGATGACCTGGCTTGCTTCCTTAAAGTGAGTTGCCATCAACCCTGTCGGCATCGATACAGCCTGTAGTAACTCTCTGTAGAATTCTTATGATTCGTCCTGATTTTAAAATGGGGTTCATTTGGTGCCACTGTAAATGCACTAATTACAGTTCTTGTTCTGTGTTTTGCCAAAATTTAGTTTCAAAAAAACCCAAAACTAAGCTGCACAGATCCTCAGGTTTGGCCGTGCAACAAAAATGCACATAATTAGCTATGTGCATAGATGGCTGTTTTCTAGATCAGCATCCCCATCAGTCTTCACAGCTATGACAGTCGATTTTTTCAGTGCTTATTACCAGTTAGGAGTGGACAGGTGAGCAGTAAGGTTGGATTAAGACAATTCAGCCAAATGTGGTTGATACTGGCAGATCTTACTGGGAACACTAGTTGTCAAGGTCTACACATGCTGAGTTGATCCGGCACAGGACTCTTTTGTATGCAGCTTCTGAAGGCATGATATTTCAAGGGTTATTACCGCACAGGGCCCAATGTTGGGTCAGTCCATTTGTATTATCTTTTACTGTGGACAATACTTTCTTCTTTCTGTAATCTGTCAATCTTTCCTTAGGTTTTTAACGCATGCTCCAATTTTTATTCGGTCTTCTTACAAATGGAAATTCGGCCAGGTAGGATCTTCATTAATGCAAGGTGACTGACATTCGTTATTTTTTTGCAGGTGGAGAAGATACATTCGGAATTAAAAAACTCTGCCTAGTTCTTGTGTGTAATAAAGACAGAATAGAAAACTACTTCTATAGAGGTGAAAAATTAATTCTCTGAAAAGGTATCATTATTATTATTATAGGCAGCTCTTGTACTGGTCTGCCTTTGAAAGGAAAATGTCAAACTTTAGGTTTAATATCGGAACAGATATGTTATCTGTTGGCAACTCTATTCTTTTCTGAAAGCCATGATGCCTGCATATTCAGCCACTTAGTTCATCCGGCAATCATATCTGAAAATGGACATTAAATTTATCAACTAAAACTAAATACATTACAATTCACAGAAATACTGAGGGGAAAATAAAAACTTTGCCATTATAGTGTTGCTTCCATGTATAATGACAACATGTGGAATACTTTTTCTTGGGTTACGATACTCACCATTTTCCAGTCTGATTCAATCTTTCTCCACAAAGAGTCCATTTTCCAGATACCTTTCTCCCATCCAGCAATCTTTTCATTATTATTGGATATTCGTGTGTAGTAATCTTTCACTATATTGTATCTTAGGTGGAGAAGCTTAGACGCCTTTTCTTTTGCAGTTGGAATAAAAATAACTTCTTTACTCTAAATAATCAAGTCCAAAGTGCAAATTAGGTTTCTGCTAAACAATTAGTATACCAAATAATTCACAATAAATATCACACACACGCACACAAAGTCATGTGAGAAAGAAAGTGCACCTTTGAATTCTATGGTTTTATGTATCAAGACATAATAAAAATCATATGGCCCTTATCATGTCTGAAAATTACATAAATACAGTACAACCTCAGATGAACAACACACAGCATATTACACCGTCATGATTTATTTTACAAAAACAAAGCCAAAATGGAGAAGCCATGTATGAAAAATTTAAGATTCAATAGCTTGTAGAACCACCTTTAGTAGCAATAACTTGAAGCAATCATTTATTAGTTTCTTACATCAATGTGGAGGAATTTTAGTCCACTCTTTTTTCCAATGTTGCTTCAGTTTACTGAGGTTTGCGGCTATTTGTTTACGCAGTTTTCTTAAGGTCCCACCAAAGCATTTCAATTAGGTTGTGGTCTGGACTAATTGGGTTATTGCAACACCTTGATGTTTTTTTCAGCCATTATTTTGTACATTTGCTGGGATCATTGTCCTGTTGCATGACTCAATTTCAACCATGCTTTAGTTGTCGGACAGATGGCCTCACATTTGACTCTAGAATACCTTGGCATACAGAGGAGTTTGTGGTTGATTCAATGACTTCAAGGTGTCTAGGTCATGGGGCTGCAAAACAAGCCCAAATCATCTTGATCTTCTAATATGTCATGTTTTTGTTTATATCTGTCTCTCTATCCATTTATCCATCTATCTATTATGTATTTATGTATTTTTTCTTCTACCAGTAAATATGAGTTGGGGCACTAAGGCAGTAAGTCACAACTGTACTCTTAAGAAAAGGTTCTACAATAATGGCCAAAAATATGCTAAATACCTCTAAAGCAATTTCACCTCTGGCAAGCCTCCAAGCTAGTGATCCAGATACCCTTCCTCCTAGTTCTCCTGGTTTAGGAGTTTTAGGAGAAATAAATTCAACAAGCTCCACAATTATTCTCTGTAAGAGTTCCCTTCGTCTGTCTTCAGTCAACGATTGTTGTCTCTGTGATTAAATAAATCAGTGATTAAAAACAAAATTAAAGCAAAATCGTGTACGTGTCCACCTAAAAAAGGCTTCTTAGGTGAGGATCCTATTCCCTTATTCAATAAGGGTAAATGGTAGAACTGTAGAGCTGAAAGGGATCCCAAATGTCATTCAGTCCAATTCCCTGCAAAAGAATAAATGCTTCCTGGTGCCTGGCAGGCTGTCTTTCACATGACTACCCATGCACTGATTGCAAAATTAGGTGCACAACCAGTCAGTCACATGAAGGACAGCCTACCAGAGGAGAAAAACTAGAGATGGGCATGAAGCACTTTGTAGCATGTTGTCATTGAGGCAGCACCTCAGGTACCATGTGTTCATTTGGACAACTCCTCCACTGACTTGCTGGTGTGTGCTGCCACTTCCCTTACTTTGTGTAATCTTCAATTCCAGCAGGAGCACGGATTTCCTTTGTCCACCTCCTCCAGCAGCTGCTCACTGGAGGAGGTAGGGAAGGCATTCCTGCAGCATAGCCTGTGAGTGGGTTGCTGTTGGAGGAGGCAGAGAAGGGAAGTCCATACTCCTGCCAGAATCGAAGATAATGCAACAGGGAGGAAATGAACAGAGTGCTGGCAGGTGAGTGGGGAAGCCAGCTAGAGGGATGGGGTGCCACCCTAACAACTTATACATGGCATGAAGTGCTTCATGCCCATCTCTAAGAAGAGCTATTATACAACAGTTCTTATGTGTGTGGTTTGGATTTGGGCTTTCTCTCAGGAAACTATATAGAACAGCAACCTTATTTTCAACTCTATTTCTATTGCGTAATGTATTGTCTGGATTTTACATCTGTTAGTTTTATTAACATTTCTTTAAGTATCAACTTAGTTCAACCAGATTCATAAACAAGTGGATAAGAATTTGCAGTTAGAAATTAAAACAAAAGTAAACCAATTTGGGAATGTCTTCACATTGGGTTGTATCCAGTTCTACTTTTCCTTAGAGAAGATTCATTGAAATCAGTGGGACAAAAATCATGGTTCACCTATGTCCAATTAATTTCTATACTAAGCTTCACTGAAAGTCTGCTCAGAAAAGTTAAGAGTTAAATGGGATATTTTTTTCTGAGCAAATATATACAGAATTGCAGCCAAAGCCTGGACCGAACTTTCCAATCTGACTAATGCTAAATATATATAATTAATCAGGAAATCTGGGCTATGTTTTATTCTACCTCCCTGATTTTTAGAGTTTTAAACCACTTTTTTTATTTGTAGACTAGGAACAGGGGAAAAGTCATGATACTGCAATTAATTAGTTTGTTCTACGTGACTGATCACCCTGGCAGTACCAGTCTTGATACTGTGATTAACCCAATGCATAATCATCTGGTACATGAAAAGGTTAGATTCTCAATGATGGATGCTTTTGTCTACATAGTGTTACATAAGATTAGATTTTTTAACTAAAAGAGCTGAATCAAGCTAGATTACTGACAATTCATATCAGTGATAATTCAGTTATGTGAGACTTCAACAAAGTACAGAATGTACAGTCTATTTTTGTTAGCATCATAGTTTGTAATTTACAAAGGATGGGAAGTAATTGCTATTGTCATGGAAGCTGCATCTGATTTTATTGTTGATAACCGTAGAACACAAATCCTTCCTTCATTTTTAATATACAATGAGTGCTGATATTCTTCTTTCTTAGGCCAGAACCCCAGTGCCACAGGAAGGTCTCTTTGCACCAATGCCTGCCCTGAAGATGATTAATCTCACCTAGCTGTATCAGTGGGTGTACCCAGCAGTAATGGCAGACATTTGGTAATTGTAATTTTATCACTCCAGCGATGTCAGGGCATTGTGGAACTATTAAAATGGCAGCTAGTTCAAAAGATCTTGGCACCTATTCCAGCAGTTCTACTTCTGCTTCCTGCTGCTACCTGCTCCAGATGGCTTTCACTAAGGAGCACCTCTCATATGGTGCTGACTTTGGAAAACCAACAGTAAAAATAAGGCTCACTGTGTGTCAACCTTTTTAGTCAGGTATACAAGTCACGATTAAAAGAAGTGAAACAGCAGCAGGATCTACTCTAGTGGAGAAGAGAGTTGTTAAGGTGCGGGCCTGTCTCTGTGTCACAGTCAGAGGTATGGGCCTTCCTGCTTCTCTCTAGGGCTGCCACCAATCCTTGGTTTTGGTTCACTTTACATTATAGACGGATCACTCATGTTGTAGAAGTGTTTTTATATGCCAAAGTCCAATTATACTTGTACAGTGGTGCCTCGCAAGACGATTTTAATTCGTTCTGTGAAAATTGTCGTCTTGTGAAAAAACTGTCTTGCAAGGTTCCCTAAGGGAGCCTCGCAAGACGAACGAAATTTATTCGTCTTGCGAAGCATGGGTCTCGGGGGGAAAAAGTCTTGCGAAGCATGGTCATAGAAAAAACCATCTTGCAAAGCGCCATAGGGATTGTGAAAACCAATCGTCTTGTGGGTTTTTCGCACTGCGAGGCAATTGTCTTGTGAGGCACCACTGTAATCCTTTATTCAAGGACAAGTTTGTTTCAATATTTGTGAACTCCTAACAAATCAGTCTATGGAAAGCTACATACCCCTTTGTTAAGATTATTGATAGTTTCTCGTAGTACTGCTTCTTTCACTTGTATCCTTCTCAAGAGCAGTTCTTCATGCTTACAAGAGTAGCGCCAGGTAACATCAACAACCTGAAAAGTGCAAATTGCAAAAGATTTTTTAAAATAAGCATGATTAATAGCTTTAAATTTTAAGCATTTTGACATAAAACTCTCTTCGACTGATTTGACATAAAAGATCAACCTCTACTGGCTATGGAATTAGCAAACCTTTTACACAGGGCAATTGATCAATCAATATTTATCAGCAAAGCTGTTTCTATAAATGAGTTCTGTCTACTTTTGCAAGCTTTGCTTCTCTTACCTCATCTTTAGAGAATGCAATGATGTAGGACAGTTTTTTCCCCCATCCAATCTCATACAGAAGGGGTTTATCACAGATGTTTTCACAAGGGTCACAGTGAAGCCATCTCTGCTGGGATGAAGAATATACTTCAGTCCACACATGATCTGTGGGGGAGAAAAGGAAAACAACGACTATAGGAATGGAGTTCACATTATTTTAGGAAGCTGAATTCAAAATCCAAAGTACTTAATTATAATTATGTTTGTTTCTTTGTTTAAAATTATACCTTTTTCTATGTCACATTTGAAAATGCATTCTCATTGCATGGAGGCTTCCCATATACACAACCATCTCTTCCCCAAACCTTTCCTTTAAATATATGAAAAAGAATTAAGATGTAGGTCTTTAGATTACATTTTAAGATATATTCAAAATCACCCATCGGATGCCTTTCCATATATCCATTTTCCTTTCACTCCCGGCATTATGAGGGCCATTACAGAAAATGTACAAAGTACACCTGCAGTTATCACCATCCTAAGGTCTTGAATATGCTACTGGTGTGTGCACACTCTCCCAAACTTGGGAAATAATTTTGTTTCTGAAAATAACACAAGAGGCTGGTGCAGTCTAAAGGTCAAACCTATTTCTGTGGCTGATTAGCATTCCTATCAGTAGAGAGTTTACATGAAAGCTATGTAGTGTCCCAAACCTTCAAAATCAATCAAGACGTACGCTCCCTATTTCAACTCTTATGCTAACCCTCCTTAATGAGGAATACCCTGTTTCCATTGCCCATTCCTAAAAAATGCAATTCTAGCCACAGTAACACATCCATCCATGACATTATGCGGATTATGACAGTGCTCAGAAAACTTCGACTGATTTATAATGCAGTAGCTAGGGCCAACCACAGAGCCATAATGAGTCTCTGCATCTTGACTGCCACTCAGAGCTAGAGGGGGAAGACAGAAATGTATGGCTTTGTCCATGCATCCTGTGAGTGGTTTGAATTTAAAGAATTGGCTAGAACAAATCTCCCATTCCAGCTCTAAACCACTGGGATACAGATCCTTTTTTCCTTCCTAGCTTAGAGTTGGGGATCTCCATCTGATCCCCTGCTGCACGTCATCGACAAGACCTCCCCAACAATATGGCCCCATATTTGCTGACTTTTAGATGCGTGTAGAGATTTTACATGGGACAATGAGACAAAAATTAATGTGACAAAAATATGAAAAGTGATATAACATATTTTCTAACAACCTGTCTGTAAAAGTACTTGAGAACTGCCCATTTCTACTGTTACATGGGGAGGGGAGGAGATCAGACAAAATAACTAACAAAATATGGAGCACAGCATATAATACTACTACACTGGTGTCCAAATTAACACTTTCAGACGTTCATAGCTATATGCCCATCCGTATGGGTGCACTAATTCATTATCCATAGTCAACACAGACCCTAGTCTTGGTGAAAAGTATAAATACTTAGACATACAATTCAATTTGATTTGTCCCTTAATTGTATGTTTTTATAATTTTGTTTTCTTTGATATTGCTATTCTGATTTTATTGTCTGTTAACTACCCACTGATATGGTGGTATATATATCAATTATACCTGTTGCGTCCCAAACGTATCTTGCTTCAAATCCTACAGCTCTGCAGCAGAGAGTAAAACAGTTTGCCCATTCTCCACAACGCCCACGTCTCGTTTCCAGAAGTTTCTCAGGATTGTTGTACCTGTGCATATAATTATTTTTAGCAAAGTTTTTTTGGGGGGGGGCGAGGTTTGGATTTCCCCCCTCTCCATTTAGTGCCACAAAAACTTAAAGTCGGTATCTTAAAGAGTTCTACCATGTTTCCCTGAAAATAAGACAGGGTCATATTAATTTTTGCTCCATAAAACACATTAGGGCTTATTTTCAGGGGATGTTTTATTTTCAGGGAAAAAGGGTAACACATTTGAACTGACAATTAGAATATGAAATTATTAAAAATATCATTGGCCAGAATCCTATAAGTTAGTTACACTAGCATAAATGCAATGGGATAGCTTGTAGCAGCAAATTGCTTCTAGATAACAAATCACCAGTTGTATCTCTCATTGCACATCAGTCATGAGTTTGTATGTGATAGATAAGAGGATAAAAACGGTAACCCGTTAACTAATGACATTTCATCATTGTGATGTATACTATTGTGCTTATGCCAGCATAATTAACCAGTAAGTTTCTGAACACCATTTGGACCCTTTTCTCTAAGAATAATCCATACTGTAGTTGTAGTTCTTGAATTTGTTTATTCTCCTCTTTCTTCTCAGTCTCTTTTGTATCACAGGTATTAACAGTAAACTTTTATTTTAAAGATAAAAGCTACCAAAATCTGTACCTCATAGCAAACCGATCAGTTCTGACCTATGTATTTATCCATTGCCTCCTACTGAAAATATCGAACTGAACTGGCATGGGTATCTTAATATTTTTCATTTACTTAGAACTCCAGGGCTCAACTCCAGACTGTAAACTAGTCCCTGAAACATGGGCTATTTTAATGAGGATTGCACTTCTGAATATGTACAGAGTGCCTTCTTTGCACCCACAGAAATGTAACAGCAATAACCCACCCACCCCACAAAAAAGATCAGTTATTAGTTATTCTGCTTAAACTGACAGCAAAACATAAACACAAACATAATAATATCTTTGTGGCACTGCTTAAAAGGGAGTTCTCATCCTCCTGTGTTACACAATGAGATTCCATTTTATGTCAATTAAACTGCAAATGAGAAATTAGCCTTCTAATAATATATCAAATACGAAACAATAGAGTTGCATTCAATCATACATACAGACCTGCTGAAATAAATCCGACTTGTTACTTATGTGTAACTTATGTTTTATTGATTTCCATAGGACTATTCTAAAGAAATCTGGATCCAAAACACTGTTGCAAACAGGTGTCAGACTTTTAAAGCAAGCAGGCATTATACATACCTTGGAAATCTATTGCTAAACTGGCACTGGTTACAGAAGTGATTTTCTACCCTACTTGCATCCCATCTCAGATCATCATCATTAGGTGACAAATTCTCTTTTGCTTCTGTTGGGCCTCCACATTTGCTGCACGAAAGATTATTTACCCACTCAAAAAAATCACATTTAAACCAGTTCAGGAGTTCTAGCAACAAAATGTCCTCTTCATTCACAAGGGAGCCTTAAAAAAATTAAAACACAGTAATTGAAACAGAAAATCCAAAATTCAACTTAAACTGCATTAGAATATCTACTTATGGTAAGGTAAAGGTAACGGTTCCCCTTGATGACAATTTGTCCAGTTGTGTCAGACTCTAGGGGGCGGTGCTCATCTCCGTTTCCAACCCATAGAGCTAGCATTTTGTCAGAAGACAATCTTCTGTGGTCACATGGCCAGCATGACTAGACATGGAATGCTGTTATCTTCCCACCGTGGTGGTACCTATTTATCTACTCGCATTTTGCATGCTTTCAAACCGCTAGGTTGGCGGGAGCTGGGACAAGCGACGGGAGTTCACTCCGTCGCGTGGATTCGATCTTACGACTGCAGGTCTTCTGACCTTGCAGCACAGACGCTTCTGCGGTTTAACCTGCAGCGCCACCATGTCCCTTCTACCTATGGTAGGGAAGGACAAATTGCAGCCACCCACCCACCTTCAGCCTTCCCCCCAGCCTTCTCTTTTTCCAGAAAAAGAAGATAAATTGCTGCTCCTGGAAGCCTCCAAAAGAGGTGATTTCCATTTTAAATAGGTCACAGGGGTCTCTAGCAGCATCAAGCACCTCAAAACACTACTTCTGCAGAAATGAAAGTGTTCTTCCAGCCACTTCTGATTTCAATGTCTGCATTTTTGGCAGTCTGTGCAGCCCTCCTGCAAAGGGTTGAGCAGAATACTGGCTCCCATGCTTACCAATGTCTGATAGAAACCACACAGAACAGTGGTAAAGGCAATTTTTAAATGAACATAGAGAAACTATTAGTCAGAGGCTGAAATCTTGTTGCCATAAATAATGCCACATAAAGCTGATGACATTATTGGCAACTGCAATGTTTTGGAAATTAAACATTTCTGATGTTTAATTAAACTCTCCTGAAGGACCCAAGGTTCCCCTATAATCATTTTCATTTGTGAGGATGTCATTGGGGGCTGTGGGATAGGAGAGGGAAGTCTTTTGCTACTGAAAATCACTGTAGCTGGGATGACTGTCAGCAATGGCAATTTTTTGGTAACTAGAGACTTCCCCCTCCTGTCCCATGTCTCCCAACAGCTTTGTGATCATGAAAATGATTATATGAGAGCCTCAGGATCTTTGGAGGAGAAATTAGAAATGTTTAATTTATTTAAAAAAGCAACTGTTGATGACATCATCAGCCTTATGTAGTGTAACTTACTCAACAGGATTTCAGTCAGTATCAAAGCTAGTATTGAATCTGCAGTATTTGTACATATTCTAAGAACAGCAGTTGGTTACTTGAGATTGAAACCTAACTGGCCTCTTCCCCTATTTGGCTTTCAGGATGCTGAAAAAGATTTGTAGTTCTGAGAGTGGTGGTTTTCAAGTGACTGTTAAATGAAACCAACTGTTGGGCTTTGGAGACATAAGCTATCTGATTATGGTGTCTTGAAATTAAAAGCGTAGTAGGTCAGGGGAATTTGTAAAAAAATATTTTTAGAACACTGTAAAGGAGAGATGAATTAAAGAGGAGTCATAGCTCACCTTGAAGAAGTGGAAATTACTGGCTCAGATAGTGTAGTTTCTCCCCACCAAGTCATGACAACACCACACAATTTCTAGTCTTAGTGCGGCAAGAATACTGACCAACTAGATTTATCCTTAGAAGGTTGAACTTTGTGAATGTAACCTGTTCTTTCCTGAAGAAGACCCTATTTCTGCACGGCCTATGCCTGGAGGAGAGGTGTAATGCATGTGCTTGTGGGGCCACTCTCAGAGCGTCATCATCAAACTGGAACCACCCAAAGGATGGGCATGCTGAACTTACGTTAGTAGATCACATACAGATCTTTGTCCTCCAGCATATGAAGAGGAACAGAGCTAACATGCTCATGCCTGTGTTCCTTCCTACGATTTTAACAGCATGGTGCATTAGAACGTCCAAACCAAACTTGTTTAATCAGGTTTCTCAGTTTGTTGTCAACGCCATGACAGCTAACCTGAATGCAGTGCCAATGAAAAAGCCAGACAGCTCTTCTACTATGTTACAGCTTATAGCTTAGAAAAATTACTCTTGGATAACACTTCCAAGAATCTCTCAGACAGCACTTCCAAAAAGTAACCTTTTCAAGCTCCACTTACAAGTAACCCAGACTTACATAGGCACAGAATAAGCTCATTTATTCCACTAAATCAACCTCTGCATTAGTGACAAAAGCTGTGATCAACCAAAGCACATCAGCTACAACTAAATAAACTATCACAGCACTCTACATTTTTGGTGCCTACAAACACCTAAGTTAAATTCTGATACAAATATGACTTTGCTTTGTTTCACTTTTTACATCTCTCCTTTTAAAAATCAGTGCATAGTGAAATGTCCACAGCTTTAAAATCAATTCTTAATTGTGGACAAAAAAATGTTGATGCTTATTTTCTACTTAATATATTCAGATTTCTAAACTATGTTAAAATATTACCTTTGTCCATTTTGTTGGCTTGTATTAGCTTTTCTTGAGCCTTCTTTCTCAGTTCTCGGATTGGGATACAGTCTAGTGCTTTCTTTTGCAAAACAGGGTTCTCGTATACCATAACATGTAGAAAATTAGACTGAAGTGTCTTCAGGAAAACGGATTCAGTTGTCTAAAATGAAGAGAAAGTGTGTCCTTATTTCAGTTGCAATAAATAGATGTTCTAGAAACTTCTGATCATTTGTCTTTCTAAATAAGCTTTCCTTCACATAGCAACCTCCAGATGTGTTAGATTACAACTCCTCACCCACAACCAGCTTTATTATGCTAGCAGAAAAATATGGACGTTGTAGTCCAATACATTGCGGGGGGTGGGGGGTGGAGTGCCAGGGAAGAGAAAGTTGTTTTCAAAAGAAATGTTCATATGAACATGAGGGGTGCAAACTACTGAGAATGTCTTCTGCATAAATACTAGCAAAATTAATAAAGACAAGATAAACAAAAAAACCAAGATGTTCTGCTAGGAGCACACACAGATCTGGTATTATACTCTTCTTGATCATTGTCAATATTTATATTTGCATATTTCATTTATTTAGCAATGTATAAATTGCAGCTTCATCTAAAAGCAAATGTTCAAGTTGGCTGTATAAAGACTAGTGAGTAATTACAGGTTTTGTGTTTACAAATGCTGACTCATGCAGAGATGAGGTTAAAATGCTAACATGATACCCTGACAAAGCTGAAATTGCAAGGACATATCTGAATCAAATGAAACATTTCCTATGCATTTAAGGCAATCAAATGGGACACTCAAAGGTTTCTTTGTGAGGCTTGTGTTGAGACTAACAATCTAATGACAATAGGCTCTCTAAGTAAGAGAACCGCAGGAAAACTTGAACAAGTTCTGAGAAGATTCTGAAGAACTACTGGCCTTCCAATGTCTGGAAGTGAAACAACTGCAGCTTCCCAATATAAGTCAGGGCATACTCTGGTTGGAAGTGACACTGAAACGGAGCCACTCCATCTGATTCCAGAGCAAACATAGTGACAAACTGTCTCAAGCTGGATTCCAGAGGATGTCTGGGGGGAAGAATAATGAAGCAACTCATCCTCATTCTCCTTTAACTTCAATGAGACCTCTTCCAAAACATAACTTCATTTTGTTATATATTAATTCAAACTTTGGAATCTATCTTATTTTATTTTACAATATACAGTGGGACCTCGACTTAAGAACGGCCCTACCTATGAACATTTCGACTTACGAACGGCTCCGTTCACAAAAAGTGGCATCGACTTGCGAATGGGGCCTCGACCTACGAATGAAAAAAAGGCAGGGGAAAAGGGCAGGAAATTCACATTTCCTGCCCTTTCCCCCCGCCTTTTTGCCTTCAGAAGTCGAGGCTCCATTCGCAAGACGATGCCAATTTTTGTGAATGGAGCGATCGGCGCCTTCAGAGGACTCCAAGGGCTCTCCCCCCGACATCGGAGGAAGCCTTTTGAGACCTCTGAAAGCAAAAAGGCAGGGGGAAAGGGCTGGAAATTAGTTAGCACAGGACATCCTGTGAGGAAATCGTATGGAAGCACAAATTGGTGAAAAGAGTTCTGGAACTCTGTGCAACCACATTTACCTCACACTTTGGGAAATCCCTGGTGGAAACTCAGTTGCTAGAATTCATCTCCTTTTTCTTAACTTCTTCCATATGAGATGGGAAAGCTGGGGATTCCCCATGTAGAGAGACACAAGTAACACTAGCATAGATACACTTTGAAAATAAACACATATGTCCAAGAATCAATACCATACTTCAAGACTGAATCACAGCTGAATTGGACTTTGTCTCCCCTTCTTGATACAGTCTTCTATGAGGCCAACTAATCTGAGTTTCCCAGCCCTCCATAAGATGTTCTGAAGTGGACAGAAGGAAAGCTGCAGGAAGGAGAATGGCTGCAAATTCTGTGGAAGCAGTGAGACCGAGCAGAAGTACAACACTACATTCTGGCCACGTGTCTCTGTCTATGAAAGCAGGATGCATGTGTGTTTGAAATCATAGCATATGAAGTGGTGATAAACCAACTAAAATTCTATTTGCACGTTCTACACATTTACTTTGAAGACCAGATCCTGACACAACATAACTTTCTGTATTTTACATAAGAATTATTATGTGAATTAAATTTTCACTATCCTGTGGTTTAGTTCTTTAATTCCACTTCAGTTTTCAAATTACTATCTAGTCAGTCTAACAGGAGTTCTAAGGCAGTTACCATTACAGCAGATTGAGAAGTTGGGTCTAAGTTGGCGCCAACACTTCTTGGTGGCTGAGGTGCCACAGGCTGTCCATTTTCTACCTTCTGAGAGGATCCTGACCTTTCAGTTTCATTTGATCCATTCAAGCGGCTATTTCTTTCTCCAGCAATTAAGTCTCTAATTTTACGTAGTTGTTCAATTGATGCTTCTTTAGGAAAAACAAGATGAGTTTCCCCCTGAAATTATAATTAAAAAAAGTTTTCTGGATTAAGATACAAATATTCAATCTAATGGTTGTTATGGGTTTTTCGGGCTCTTTGGCCATGTTCTGAAGGTTGTTCTTTCTGACGTTTCGCCAGTCTCTGTGGCCGGCATCTTCAGAGGACAGCATTTTGAGAGCACAGAGTGCTGTTCTCTGAAGATGCCGGCCGCAGAGACTGGCGAAACGTCAGGAAGAACAAACAACCTTCAGAACACGGCCAAAGAGACCGAAAAACCCACAAATTACAGCAGATTGAGAAGTTGGGTCTAAGTTGGCGCCAACACTTCTTGGTGGCTGAGGTGCCATAGGCTGTCCATTTTCTACCTTCTGAGAGGATCCTGACCTTTCAGTTTCATTTGATCCATTCAAGCGGCTATTTCTTTCTCCAGCAATTAAGTCTCTAATTTTACGTAGTTGTTCAATTGATGCTTCTTTAGGAAAAACAAGATGAGTTTCCCCCTGAAATTATAATTAAAAAAAGTTTTCTGGATTAAGATACAAATATTCAATCTAATGGTTGTTATGGGTTTTTCGGGCTCTTTGGCCATGTTCTGAAGGTTGTTCTTTCTGACGTTTCGCCAGTCTCTGTGGCCGGCATCTTCAGAGGACAGCATTTTGAGAGCACAGAGTGCTGTTCTCTGAAGATGCCGGCCGCAGAGACTGGCGAAACGTCAGGAAGAACAAACAACCTTCAGAACACGGCCAAAGAGCCCGAAAAACCCACAACAACCATTAGATCCCAACCGTGAAAGCCTTCGTGAAAATATTCAATCTCTTTAACACCCATCACTACTGGTTTTGCTTTAGAAATGAATTAACTAAGGCCTTAAGGAAGCAACAAGATTTATGCAAGAGTTAAAGGAAGTTAAAACTTCCTTTTAGAAGCTCAGGAAGGTAGCATAAACAGGCCAATTCATTTTATCATAAAACCTCTGTGGGTTCTAGCAAGGTTTGGCAAGGAAATAATGATTTATCCAAGTGTAATCCCATGAGCTTTCTGGGAGATAAGGCAATGCTATAATGCTACAGATATTTACTCAGAAATTAAGTACCATTATGTTTAACTGTTCAGACTGGCAGGTCCGAGAAAAAAATCACCCACTGAACAGAAGTCTATTTTCCTATAATGGATATCATTAGCACACCAAGACTGGAGTGTACCTCTTAATCCAATGAAGACTAGAGCACAGTAACAAGGGGTTTGCTCCAGAGTGTCAAATTTAGAGGACTTGCCCTTCCATAGCTACTCATAGTGAAAACATCACTAAGTAGACTTTAGAGATTGGCCTGGCAGATTGGTGTAGTAGTGCAATATGAAAAGACAGTGGTATACCAAACCTCCAGGGCAGACTTGCCACTAGGGGGAGTGGATGATGGATGATCAGTATACCAGGCCCCATTGAGGTAGTGAAGGTCCTGTCTATCCAAGGCTTCTGTCACTAGCTGGCCAGTGCTGGGAGGCTTCCCAGATACTGACAGCCCTGGAGTCAAGGCTCAACATGTGGCAAAAACAGAGCTGTTGGAGCTGCCTCTCAGGTAAAAACACTGCTATTGCCCGGCCAGTGCCTGAGAGGTTTCTGGGCCACCTGAACATTGGCTGGCTGGTAAAGTTGATTTTGCGGGAGGGGGGCAGCTCCAGTGGTTCCTTTTGCTTGCTTGGAAAGGGTGTGAGGCTGCCCTGACCCCAGTGCTATCAGAAGCTATGGAAAGCTTTCCAGGACTGGTTGGCTTACAGCGGGCTGAAACATGTGGTTCTTGTCATAAAATGTGGAACAGGACGTGGTACTCAAGCAAAGGACAGGTCTACCTGAGGTTAATCCAAGCAAGGTCTACCAGGGCTCAATAAACCAGCCCTCTGAGTTGGACAACACAGAAAATTGAGCCTTCTCTTGCTATAAATATATACGTGTGTGCATGTTCTACTGCTTCTCTGTGAAAGATGGGAGATGCTGGCAAGTGTTCAGTACTGTATTTACACTTGATATTATTTTCAAACCACAAATTATATAGTTGATTTGGGGGCCCATTTTATGCTGCTTGCCCAGGTACCGAAATTAGTTACACCTCTGCCCCAAGGAACATCTGCTCAGGTATAGTTCAAACACACAACAATACATAGCACACACATAGAATAATTCCACTTTCCTAGCTAACTTCTATCTGGAAATATATAATTCCCAGAACTTTTTAAATCATGGGAAACTTTTTTTTGCCTCCTTCATTCCCAAAGAGAAAATTAAAACAGAAGTAACACTTCCTTTCTTGCCAAACATAACCTTATTTTACTGCTCTTACAATATACTGTACTGTAAAGTGTAGCATTTATAGATCAGCAAATATGAATACATTACACTGCATATTTATTATGTATACAAATCAGCCCTAAATGCGTTCACTTAGAAAACCCACCTTCTTTAATAGAGGTGATGCCCAGATAAGCACATATGGGATTGCCACGTGAAAAATATAAATACTTTAGTTTGTACAACCAATATAGCCATCGTGGGAGGGAAGAACTACAAACCTGCTGTGCCCATATGTACATAGTGTATATCTTAGAATTTTTCATGTTAAGGGGAATAAACTAAAAACAGACAATTATAAACCACACATTTTGCAGTAAACAAAAGAAGGTATATTACTTAAAAAGAAATAATCTCAGTGAGGAAAATACCAAATTTCAGTTCCATGTTAAGAGTGAAATACGAGTCAATATATAAACTGAGCCTATAAGGCTTTTTATAAGGAGAGACCCATTTCAGTATACAGTACTTACTTCCTCAAACCCCATTTCAAACAATGGGCCTATGAGGCTTTTTATAAGGAAAGACCCATTTCAGTATACTTACTTCCTCAAACCCCATTTCAAACAGACATTCAACAGCTCCTCTGACAGGCAATAATCTGGTAGAAAATGTTTGATTTCCAGTCCTAATAGACCGATATTTCTCTTCATTTGGGTGTCTGATAAATATAAAAGCAAAGAAGAATACTTATTTATTTGGTGTTATATTTATATATTGACCTCCACTGAGTTCAGCTCAGGGTACATGGCTACCCCCTTCCACATTACCCTCAAAACAATTCTGGGAGATAGGTTAGCTTGAGACAGTGTGACAACTCAAGATCACTCAGTAAATTTCATGCTCAATGGGAACTAGAATCCAAATTTTCCCAGTCCAGCAATCTAATCACTGCAGCATACTAGTTAAGGGAATTTTTTTTTATTAATTTAGAGCTCTAGAACATTGCTATCATATTTCAGTTAATGTCCACCTTAGAGCTCCAGCCTATTCTGCCATGACTTCCTAGCGCCCACAGACATTCTACAGATTTACAATTTTCAGACACTATTCTTTATTATTTATGTAGCAAACAAAGGCTCCATAAGATGCACAGACTTTCCACCCCCCTGTTTTGTGGGAAAAAAGTGAGTCTTATGGTGCAAAAAATACAGTATGTAGCAAACAAAGTTTGTGAAGAGCATGCAAGGTCTTTATTCTTTTATTTTCATTACAGCAATCCTGCGTGGCAAACCATTTTGAACACAATAATATGCTGAAGTCATCCAAAACTACTGCAGTGTGATGGGTCCCACAGCATTATCCTACTATTGGTCAGCTGTGATCCCACTGTGCCATTCATTTTTTTAAAAAGTAACTTCACAAGATATAAATATTTTGTATATGAGAAATTGAGGCTGGGAGGGAATTAAGGCCACAATACTGACTTCAGGGCCTTCTCTGTCACTGCTTCCAGACTCTGGAAATAACCACTGGCCAGTGGAGGCTCACATAGGCATCCTTCAGTCTCGAGAGACTATGGTAACATGCTCTGAATCGAGGAGTGTCCTCTCCAGAGCATGAAGCCCGGGTAAGGTAATATGGAGGATAGGCTGTTACCCAAGCAGCAGATCCCCCCTCTCCACATTGCTGAAATGGTCCAATGGAAAGGCAAGAGCCAATACAACTGGTTCCAGCAATGTCGCAGGAGTTGGCAGAACGACACATGCTGCCTTCGGGACTCCAGCTCCGGATTTTGCCTCGAGGTTAACTCCTGAAGCCTTTTCCATGAGTGGATATAGCCACAAGGCAGTGGAGGTTTGAAATCGGAGTTTTCAACAGTGTTACAATCAATCTAACACATATAATAATAAACAGATAAGGAAGGAAAGAAAAGAAAGTTAAGTATTGACAGAAGGGAAGGCCTGAACATATAACCATGTTTTTAATTGACTTTTGAAAGTACCCAGCGTAGGGGCCGCACGAATTGCCGGAGGAAGGTTATTCCAGAGGCGAGGAGCCACTGCTGAGAAGGCCCTATTTTGTGTCCTTTCCTTCCAGGCCTCCCTCGGCGTTAGGCTCCTCAGCCTCACCTCCTGGCTCGTGCGAGTGATCCAAGTAGATCTAGG